TATAACCCTATAACCCTATTCCCCTATTACCCTATAACCCTATTACCCTATTATCCTATAACCCTATTACCCTATTACCCTATTCCCCTATTACCCTATAACCCTATTACCCTATTATCCTATAACCCTATAACCCTATTACCCTATTACCCTATAACCCTATTACCCTATTATCCTATAACCCTATTACCCTATTACCCTATAACCCTATTACCCTATTATCCTATAACCCTATAACCCTATTACCCTATAACCCTATTACCATATAACCCTGTAACCCTATTTCCCTATTACCATATTATCCTTTAAACCTATTACCCTATAACCCTATAACCCTATTACCCTATTACCCTATAACCCTATTACCCTATTACCCTATAACCCTATAACCCTATTACCCTATTACCCTATAACCCTGTTACCCTATAACCCTAACGTCAGAACAGCTGAGGACCAACTTCTAGGACACTGATCTAAAGAACGGAGCTCTGGTTCTTCCCACACTCCTCCTGATGAGCTGCTTCTGTTTCTTCCATCTGACCTCTGCTGTTGTTCTGACTGAACTGGACCACAGGGTTCCGACTGTCTGACAGTTTGTAGAGAATCAGTCTCTGACAAGCTGCAGCGTGGCTACAATCAGCGAGCCGATGGCTAACGGTGGTTGTAAAGCAGTCTGTTGATGCCACCAGAGACGCAGCAACCTTTAGGCCCCAGTTTGGTTCTGATACCACCTATCACCTGTTCACCCACCAGCTCCACCAGTTCCTCAAGTCATGGTGCCAGTTTGACTGTAACCTAAAGAAAAACATTTGACTGATTTGTAACTAGAGACAAACTTCCAGCAACATTCTGGCAAGAAAGAGAAGTTTGATCCTCAGAAGCAACTGGACTTGTTCCGGTTCTTGAAGACATTTCACTTCTTCATCAACCAAAACAAGTCCAGATGCCCTGGATGACTAAAAGTCGGTGGCCAGTTTCTGTAGCCGGTGGTAGCTGCAGTTGTTCTTTGGCAGTGAAGCTGAACGTTTGCAGACAAGTCCTGTTTTCATACGTAAACTGCATTTGTGGCAAACGTCTTGCAGTTTTGCTGGAACCTTTGTTTCATGTGGCTGTTTTCTCATCTCAGTGTAGAATACAATGTTTTCTAAGATGTGAAGATTCAGTTGGGACGTCTGTAAACCTGCTGACGGCTGCATCACTATGTCAGATAAACGTTTCCTGTAAGGCTCTGCAGGCAAGCTGCCAGGTGGGTGCAGGGGGCGGGGCCTGATTACAGCAGATTACCTGACAGGTTTACAGCCGCTGGACTTTAGAGTCTGATCAACAACAGCAGGAGGACAGGTGAGCCAGGTGAGCCAGGTGACGTGTGAATGACAGCAATGCTTACAAAGGTTTTGTCAGCATACACATAAACATGTAAACATTCTTATGAACACATAAACATTAATGTAAACATTCTTAGAAACA